TCTTAGCCGTGTGTGTGGCTGCTTATCACCTACGATTCGTCTCGCCTTTCTTTCTGCCTTCTTTTCTTTCTCTTCCTTTCTCTGCCTCGTAAATGGTGCCACAGAAAAATAAATTTGGCCAATCAAAAAATTAACACAAAGAGACTTTTGATGTTAATCGAAACCAAGGTTCACGCCAGAGTTTCAGAACCTGGTCAAAAGGATATAAGCTAACAGCTCTGAATTAGACGAAGAGAAGTGACGACAAGAGAAACCACGGAACAGAAAAGCGACCGCTAGAGAGACCAGCCATGATAATGATATTTCTAATTATATTTCTACCTATATTTCTTCCTTCTCAGCGGCGAGATAAACACAGTATATTTACGCTGGCCTATTTCTAAGATGACTACTACTGCGAGCAAGGTCTGATCCTGAAACTATCCGCTACCGAGCTGAAAGGGACATTTCTCCAGACTGCTACCAATATCCGCCTTATAAACAAAGATTTTGCTGGCACCGAATACCAAAGGACTCAATCTAAAGCAAATAAATAAAAATATATTATTTATGTTATACGCTTGAGTCAGTTCGTTTTAATTAATACTAAATAACCTCTGGTATACATATACCGCAAGACGTAAAATATTTCTACAAAATTAAAAAAGAATAAAAAGGTATGAAGACTTGAAAAAATAATTTTATTTTGAGGGATAATTTCCGAAAAGTAGAATAAGATTTTTATAATTATCTGATTTTTATTTATGAGTTATATATATATATATATATATATATATATATATATATATATATATATATATATATATATATATATATATATATATATATATATATAAAGAAATGGACAAGGTCCGACAATTTATTTATTAAGAACATTTTTATGTTTAACGTTGTTATTTTTTATAGATACAATATTTAAGCAAAATGCTCTGTTTATGATATAAACAGTATTAAATAACATTTACATTTTTGAATCTCGAGAAATTCTATCAGAAAATATTCCTGTCAAGAACGAATATTTTCTGTAAAATTCTTGTACATTTTCGGTAAAAATAAACAAACGTTAAAAATCTTAAAAAATGTCCTAAAAATATTTTATATATATATATATTATATGATTTTTATTTCTCACTCAGTGGTAAGTGTTGTCCAGACTGAGCGGAAGGCAGAAAGTATTAGTCAAATGTATATATATATGTATGCATATATATATTGCATACGCGAAGACGAAATCACATGCAGACAATGAATGATGACCAGAGAATCATATGATTTTTCATGATATAGATTTACATATATTTAAATATTTATTAAAAATGTTGTTTCGAAAACATGATATTTCAGATATGAAAAAAGTACCCACCTATTCGCTAGTAAGGAAAACTATTTATGAGAAGGAAATTTGCATCGACAGTTATTCTAAAAATAATTAAAAAAAAACAAAAAAAATAAAAAAAACAGGTTGAGCCGTATATGCTAGGCGCCATTTTATAGTGACTAAAATATGCTTAGCGGTTTCGACGAGATATCTGTTGAAAGAAAGCCAACTTATATGAAGGCTAATGTTGTGAAACCTCCAGTGACTGAGACTCGAACTCACAGAGCGTGATAATATTTTGTCAGTGAATTCAAAAGCAGATAACATTTTTTTCAGTGAATTCAAAAACAGTCGAATAAATAAACAGTATTATGGCCGCCATCTTCTTTATCTATTCGGGTCAAGCAGGGATTTCATTTTTTTTCTTCTTTTGCGCAGGTCAGATAGCATTTTAAATCCGCAGTTTTATCAAGCCGCTTGATTTGCATCAATTCTCCTTCGATGCCATTTTGCATACTAGCACAGACAGAGGAAGCGATAGTTTCTTCATGATAAAAAAAAGAAAACAAAAATTAAACAAAAACAAATACCGCCGTTGGTTCAAAAAGTTATTTTGAACACTTTCAGTTACATTTGTCGCAACATGGCCGTTTTGCTCGCAAATGCATGCAGTTTAAAATGTACCGGTTTACTTGGCTTATCGTCAGAGACGTAATGCGCGTGCGCGAATAGGATTCATATAATTGAGCCAGAAATTGTCCCTTCTTTCGTAGATCTAATTTTTTTTTGTCTGTGGAATGAAACGATTATATTTCTTTTCCTTCTTGGTTCTTTTTTTAAATCAATTCACTCCAAGCAAGGCGATAATGCCACTAAGACGCAAGGGGCTAATGGCAGTGAAAGAGAATGAAACTATTTAAAAAAGGAATCTAAAACCCAATCCTACACAGCGAACAATGAATAAACCTCTAATCTCATTCAAAATACCGGCGAGGGGTGTGAAAACGTTACAAGTATAGAGTTATTGCCCGGTTCACACTCCTCTCCGGTCTTTTGAACTGGAGTAGCGGTTTACGTCTTGTTTTCTATCTAGGATTGATTTTCTGGTTCCTACTAAAGACTACTTCAACTCTATATAAATGTTGAATGTAAAGGTCAAGAAAGTTGAAGAACCGCTTCTGAAAACTAGTGCGAATTTTAAAAATTTTTTTCGCGCGCATTGTTTTTTTATTTAATTATTTAAAGTGGTCTTCAACCTGTACAAGGCCCTGGGGCCACTCAAGGTAGAAAGTTACGGAGTAAGAGGAGAAGCATATGCGGATATGCGTGGGAGATAAGGGTTAACAGTAGCCTTGAAAAGGTTAAGATGGTAATGATCGGGGAAGCAGCCTCTTGATTGTCGGTTCCACTAGGCATCGTTTTGCGGAAAGGAGCAGTTTGAGAGGAACTTACTTCTCACTAGGAGGATATGAAGGGAATGTGGGTGATTCGCTACTATGTGCGTGGCACGACGGGTCTTGACTGTAACGGTGGAAGTATTAGGTTGGTGCAAAAATAATGTTGTTTTTTGACGTTCAACTTAACGTCAAAAAACGACATTACTTTTGCACCAACCTAATAGTTCATCTGAACACTCTCCATGGAATTAGCGTTTAGGCGATCATGTATCTTTCGATACATGACTGACGAGGCTGGTCTTTTCCAGCAGTAGGTTGCCCTTTCTTTCTGCGGTAGACCAGTTGCCATCTATTTACCCATAGCTGGGGGGCGGTGAAGAAGAGGATTCATACCTTTGCCAAGGGTATTAGCACATAAGTGAACGTAATGGATTCGACTGGAATTCGAACTCGGCTCTCCGATTCCGTTATCCATTATTCTACCGTCATGATAACTATAAGCAAGATGAATTTTCTATGAGAAACAATATGAAAAATAAACAACCCCAGTCAAGAAGAAGAAGAATATTAAATTATCTACTATAAAAAAGAGTTATACTAACGTTATCATCAACAATAATAACAAGGCTGCAAGATCCAAATTACAGAGAACTAATATTATTTATGAATTCACATATTCCTAATCCAATGAAATTTATGAATAATTATATTGGACGTACTATAACAAGCCTCTCAAGAAGACTCGCGTTACAGTTCTCAAGTACGATATATTTAAACACACATGGAAACTTACCAAATTCCAACCGCGGCTTCCTTGTAGAAAATAAAAGGATAATAGCCTCAACCATATACAAAAAGACAAGGAAAAATGGACACACTAGTAATAAAAAAAAAGTAAAAAGCTAACACTCAATAACATCAATTATGAATACGGCCAAAATGTGCTGACCGTGTTTGGAAATTAATACATTCCTGTAAATGTAGATACATACATGAAAAATGCATAAATACGGCTAAAAAAAAAAAAAAAAAAAATCATCCTCGAAAATGGCTAAAAGAATAGCTGAAAATGTTCGAATATGCAGAATATTTTGACAATTTTTACACACAGTATATATCCAGGAAAGAAAACACATACGAACATGAGACAAATAAAATAAAAGTTTATATATATATATATATATATATATAAATACATTTTCTATTTTCAGTGGGTTCTGAAAAGAACCCACTGAAAATTCAAATGAATCGAAATTGAAGATTGAAAAGAATACAGTTGCTAAAAGCAATCACTATTTGCCTATAGACTCAAGTATAAATTCGACCTATTGTCTTAAGTACAAACCCGACCACTATTTACCAGCATACTCAAATAATAATAATAATAATAATTCTTAGAGGGTGCATACTTAGTTCTCCTTATAAAGGACAATAACTCAAAATACAATAAAGTTACCTCCCTTGTCCACCAGTTGGACCACGGCTCTTCCGAATTCAACATCGTGACAGGCACAGAGAACTCAATTTTAAATCCCAAACATTCCTTGCTGTTCTTAGACAGTAAATGAATAAACGTATTCTATTATGTGTTAAAGTACACTTGTATCTTATTTTCATTCATTTTTGTACCACCCAACAACCTAGCATATAATAATAATAATAATAATAATAATAATAATAAATAGATTTCGAAAGTAAATAATGTAACAAATCATCACATTCACTAAATTAAATAATCTCACATGTCATCACATTCACTATCTAACTCAATTTAAATGTAAACGTAATTTTTTTTTATTTCTTCGACCAATGCACGATCTTGTAAAAAGAAAAGTTAAAATTGAGATGAATGAGAAATAGGCTTTTGACTGTTTTTCTCCAGTTTGGGCGGCTTTAAATTTTTCATTTAAAGTGCAGACGTTTCACTTTTCAGTTGCGTTGGCATCAGCCACAAATCAGGTAGAATGTCCCACTAGCAGGCGGCACAGCTTCAACAAGTTATTTAAATATAAATATCTGCATCTGACATATTTGCTTTTCAGTCTCCTGAACAAATGTCTGGAAACTAACATTCGACTTTCACCCTAGCTACAGGCACAGCTGCAATTTCAAGAGAACATATACATAGCGAATTACGAAGCGTAGCTTAGGTGTGGCACAAGGACGAATGTGTGGAGCACTCAAGTTTCACGTTCCCGAGATCTTCAGGAGATTACAACACAAATGAAAGTAGGAGGAATCTGGAATTCATTCCCAATAGCGTACACGCCCTAACCTATTGCATCATGGGAAAAATGGCAAAACCCATATGTAAAACGCCCTCACCAAAGAGTGAGAGCGTGTGCTATACACGGATCTATCTATCTATCTATCTATCTATCTATCTATCTCAGGCGTTTAATTATCTATCTATCTATCTATCTATCTATCTATCTCAGGCGTTTAATTATCTATCTATCTATCTATCTATCTATCTATCTATCTATCTATCTCAGGCGCTTCATTATCTATCTATCTATCTATCTATCTATCTCAGTCTCTTTACTATCTATCCATCTATCTATCACAGGCGCTTCATTATCTATCTATCTATCTATCTATCTATCTATCTATCTCAGGCGTTTATCTATCTATCTATCTATCTATCTATCTATCTATCTCAGTCTCTTTACTATCTATCTATCTATCTATCTATCTATCTATCTATCTCAGACTTGTTACTATCTATCTATCTATCTATCTATCTATCTATCTATCTATCTATCACAGGCGCTCCATTATCTATCTATCTATCTATCTATCTATCTATCTATCTATCTATCTATCCCAGTCTCTTTACTATCTATCTATCTACCTATCTACAGAAAGTCGTGCGACACAAAAAATTTCTCTTTGATATTTGTGAATCTTTGCTTAAAACGGTGCAAGATGAAATTGAGTTAAAAATTCTCAGGAGAAATTAGTTATCCCAGATTTCAAAATGCGGTGACCCTGAAATGAAAACCAGCATTCGGTGTCTTGTTACTTCGTCCTTATTCGATATCTAATATATAAAAATCCAAAATTTGTTTCTTCTTTTTGGGTGTGTATTTGTGTGTCTGCTTGAAAATATCTATAATGTGTGTTTTTCGTCTGCTCGCGTACAAATATTACATTAAAAAAAAACTGCGTCCTGGATATAACGATAAACTACATCCGCGTCCTGGGTAAGACGATAAACTACATCCAACAGCAAGGCCACTGATCAGGAGGTTTTAAGGAGCGTGGAACCACCTTATAATTGCTGGTGTTCCAAGGTCCACCCTGATCCAGGTTGGTAGCACCTGTTAGGATCCCAGCTATGGGCAAATAGTTAACCCAATCTGGGGTCAAAACCCTGAATGTGTAAAAAGAGGTTTTAATACCAGCAATACATTTTTCTAAAACATTATTAACAGCAATGAAGTTTTTAAGGAAAAAATTATTACCAGCAATACCAATAATATATTGTTTAAAAAAAAAATTACCAGGAATATATTTTTGAAAGAGAAGTATTTCCAGCAGTACATTTTTGGAAAATAAATTATTACCAGCATTGCATTGTGACGTCGTCCCCGGGTCGCAGCGTCGACTGTGTCGTTCGATCCCGGTCGCGGCGCCAATTGTGACGTCACGTGCTCCCCAGGCTCTGATATCCTGGTCACGGACAGCACCATCTGTGAGGTCTTTGCAGCGGCGTCAGCTGTTCGCTCCTCGCTGCTCCAAACGTGACGTTCTAACCCTTTGGTTAGATTGATACCAGCCTCGCCGTTCCCAACCCGCTTCCAACGCCTGGTTACCAGGGTAACTGCACTGATCTCCGGTCTGGCTACCCACGTTGTGAATTGATCTTAGACAGACGAGATCAAACAGGGGTTGGGGCCGTAATGCAAGTTGAGTCCAACGGGGGTGATAACACACAGTTATGTATAAAAGAAAATAAAATAAAAACTCAAAAGGTCCAACGTATCAAAGAAAAAGGTAACAAACTTTTTATGTCTATTTGCTCGGTACATAGGACTATGTCTACTTCCCGACCCGTTCTGTGGATTGTGGCAGGACGCTTTTACTAGGCAACTTTAAGGCTTCAAGTTGTCTGCTCTCTAAGAAATTTGTGTTTCAGTGTGTCTTTGGACGAAAAAAAAAAACTTATTTCTGTGGTCTTGATTCTAAGTCGCTCTTCAAACTACTTGTTCTTGGTTGAAGAAGAGTCCAGAAGTGTGCGTGAATCTTGGTCAGCTATCTTGACGCGGTCTCATCACTGGGCGCGCATCTCTGCTTGTCGTCCACGGCTGAACTCTTTCGCCGTCCGCGGCTGAACTCTTTCGCCGTCCGCGGCTGAACTGATTTCTGTCGGTTGGGGTCTCGTTTTTATTGACGCACTCAAAACTGGGGTGGGTCTGTCGGCGCCAGGGGTTCTTCGATAATTCTAAATACGTATCCACCCTTCTTATTTCTGGTTAGGGATTTTTCATTTTTTTCCATTTTCGGTAACTCACTCTCACTCCCACTCCCTTACTGTGCCTCTGAGGGGCATGTACCCGCTTCCCCGCTTCTTCGTATCGGCTCCTTACACTTACACTTCTGACAGGGGCGTCGACCGATTCTCCTCGTGCGTCACGTGACCGCTCTCGGCCAATGAGGTCCTGGTCGGGTATCTTTCCTCCTCCTTCGTGTGTCATGTGATCTTATTTAGCCAATGACGTCTTTAGTCGGGCGTGGACAATCCGTGGCTTTGTTTTGGGAAAGAAACACCTTGCTTAAAAAACAAAAATATTAATTTAAATCGCCCTTATCATGAGCGATTGAGACGACCCTCTCGGCTTTTTAACACGTGGTATTTGTCAAGCAGTTTATCGCTAATTGGATATGATCTAAGAAAGGAATTTCTCAGACTCGTTGGCGTTTCTGAAACGGAATAAAAATATTTCAATTTCCCTCCGCTCGAAGGTCTGATAATAAAAATCTTTATTATCTCAAAAAAAAATTTTCAGCGACCACCTTATGTGGCTTTTTCTAATTCTGGAGACTGTCTGTGTTTTCGTATTAATGGTTTGTCTTCATATCCTTAGATACACTTCCCCACCCACTTAGACCTTTACTATCATTCCAATGACACACTTTCCCACTTGGGTGACAACCAATTGATAACAAACTTCCATTTTTCGCGGATCCGCGGAAATCAGTCAGATGCTTGACCTGAAATTTTTCGACACCTGTTATCTGTCAGCCGTGCGTGTGTGTGCTCGCCTCTGACCTGTTTTCGTATTATTTTTTCTTTCTTTCTTCTTCGTTTTCTCTTTCTTTCTTCCAGATCGCTTGAATGTAAAGAAAGAATTATTCTTAAAACCCAAAATATTTTTCGGCCTTAAATAATTATTAAATGGTTGATAAACCGTAAAGAACAAATCATATATCTATGAATATTTCTCTCAGCTCGTCAGGTATGCATGGTGCCACAGCATTATGAAAAATAAAAAAATATTACCAGGAATATTTTTTTTTTTTTTTAAATTACCAGCAATAAATTTTTGAAAAAATATTATCAACACTACATTTTCAAAAAAAAAAAAATATTACCAGCAATATATTTTTTGAAGGAAATAAAATATTACTAGCACTACAGTTTTGAACAAAGATATTACCAGGAATAACAATTTTGTCGGCATTAAATAACGCATTGAGGCTGATATGCCGTAAAACAAACCAAACAAATACAAATAACTGTGTCATCAGATAAATGCAGTTTATTGCACAGGGTTTAGTCAAAAGTTGGAATTCTGCGTTTATACGGCATGAGAGATAAAAAAAATTTCAACTTTTGTATTTCTCTGCTGGGGAAACTCCATTGATCCTTCTTTTCAGATATAACGTTTGAGAATCTACTATGAGCGTATGAATAGGCGCGAAAGACAAATTCGTATTTGCGTAGGTGTCTTATATCTTGCCCAACTCAATGGTTCTTCTTTATTGGATACTAGACTACCCATGACTCGTTGGGTCACTGACGTTTCAGATTATAAAACACTGAAGTTGATTTCAACAATCCATTGAAATGAAAGTTAATTTTATTTTGATTCATTTAAATATTTCAATTCATTGGTGTCATCATTGATCTGGTTTACGAGTTCATGCATAACGTTTTACTGACTGCTTACTGCATTTAATAGAAATAGAACTTCCGGGATAAACTTGAACTTTAAATCAGATTAATGTAAAAACTAATTTTAATATGCCAAAAAATATTTTAAAATCATATTCACTTAAAAATACTTTTTTTTAATATATGCCAAAAAATATTTTTTAAATAATTAAAATATTGTTTGTTTAAAGAAAGCTGAAATATAAATAATTACTCAAGAAACAACTGGACGAAACAGCAAAACGGGATCACTTTGTGTCTGTCATTTAATTAAAAATTGTCTGCATGAAGAAAGTTAAAATATAAATATTTACTGTATAAACAACTCGTATTTTTAAATCTTATTCCCTTAAAATATTTTTTAAAATCAGATTAACTTAAAAATATTTTCTAAATATTTAAAACATTGTTTGTTTAAAGAGGCTGAAACAACTGGACGAAACGGCAAAGCGGGATCTCTTTGTGTCTGTCTTTAACTTAAAAAATATTTTGATTAAAAACATTGTCTGTATTAAGAAAGTTAAAATAAAAAATATCTACTGTATAAACACCTCGCATTTTTAAATCTTATTCACTTAAATCAGATTAAGTTAAATCATTATGTGTCGGACGGACGCATCACGCAAGCATCACGCAAGCACGCACACATTCACTGACTTTTAGTATTATATGTGTGATTGCATATTCAGAATTAAAAATGTCATTTGAATTCATTTGTTTCATTATTCATTCTAATTTGGTTTTTGGTGATGCGCTTGTCTTTTTGATTTCTTTCTTAATTAAATTGATTATTTATTAAAATACACTCACAACCTTACCAAATTTGGATGTTTGCTTAGCGATCATCGGCAATGAGTTTATTTTCACATTCCTTCCCGGTCTTCTGAACAGAAGTAGAGGTTTATCCTAGGTTTGCTGTTTAGGAACAGGTTTCCAGTTCTTTCAAAATCTACTTCAATTCTAAAGTCTACTTCTAGCGTCTCTTCCTAAACTCTGAATATTTTATTTAATATTTATTTATCCTCAATGGAAGCAGATTGTTTCGCTTGTCGTCCTGATCTCTCACCTCCCTGGTCTTTTGAACAGGAGTAGAGGTGTATCCTCGTTTCTTGTTTTCAGATTGGATTTCCGGTTTCTTCTATAGTCTTTTTCTTTCTCTTTCCATCCCAGTAATTACTTGCGGCTCAGTGGCATTATCGCCTTGCTTGGGGAGAATTGATGAAAAACAAACTAGAATGTCAATGGGCTGATGAAATATCTTATAAATTCAACGGCCATCTAGAAGAAGTTGATAGAGTGGGTTCCATAGAGATGTATGCGGTGATGACATTGCATCGCTGGATGGAACTATCTAGGAAGCCGTCTGGTCAAGTCCTCCAAGTTCAATTAACGGGCGAGTTTTTTTTTGCGTTCATTTTCTCACAAATACACTTTGGAAAATTATGAATCTATTCCACACACACACACACACACACACACAACGTATTAAATAGAACAGAAGCTTGATTCGCAAGTAGCCTAGGAGAAGAAGGACAATGAAATGACAACCTGCTCTGCGCTGTGTTGGTAATAATAATAGGGCCTGCAATAGACGCCAGGCTCACGGCCATATTACGTCGAAACATCGGTTCCCGTATGAGTACAATCATCGAAGTTAAACAACGTCGAACCTGGTCACTACCTAGATGAGTAACCTCTTGGGAATACCAGGTGCTGTAAGCTTGGATGTGCTGGTGGCGTAATGGATAATGGCTCGGAATTTTTAATCAGAAAGCCGACTTCCGATTCCAGTTGGGTCTTTTATATTCCATTTATGCGCAAATACCCCTAGGAAAAGTATGAATCCACCTCTTCTCCACCCCCCAGATATAGGTTAATTAGTAAGATCTGTATCACTAAACGATTATTATCTAAAAACATGCTTACAATCTAAAAATATTTTCTGTCTTTAAACAATCAGCAAAAGGTTGATAAGCTGTAAGAAAAATCAATCAATCAATAAGTTACTACAAAAACTACAGCAGTTACTCTAGCAGAGTGTGACTGTGGCTCTATATTCAGAATGGAGTAAGAAGAGCTATTATAGTAAAGCCATTTACTATATTGTAATGTTAAAACTGTCTCAGCAATTAGATCTCGGCATGGGAGTAAAAAGGATATAAGCAACAAATAAATCGTATTAAATAATGTTGGCCTTATTTTAAACAGTATATTTTGAAAATCTACCTAAAATAATTGAGAGCATTATAACGTCCTATAAATGAAAATTGATGACGATAGAAATATTTAAAATTATCGAAATTTTTTTATTTGTGACAACTTTCTTAACTATTCCACAGTTGTGTAGCCCAGGGTGGCAAAGGCCTGAGCCACACCGAATATCCTTGCTAGTAAAAAAAAAATAAAATAAATTTCGTTTCGTACAGCCTAAGCCTAAACTAGGTTTGATATGAAATAGATTACATTTCACCAATTTTCTCGATGAGGGTCAGTCTGCTTACCCCCACCCTCGCTCAAAAAAAAAGAGACCACCGACACATATCAGCAATGAAAAATACGCAACTACTTCAACCACGGGGTAAACTATCTGTCAACAGCAGACAGTTCTCCCTTTTTGACGCATTAACACTTGTGATAATTGTAAAGTATAGTTAAGTCAGCGCAAGGTCAAGAAGAATTGAGCGTTAGAAGTCTGTGTTCTCGGCAGTCTAAGAAATCTAAGATGTGGAAAGAGTTTACTGACCTTTTATCAAATTCAGCATTTACTAACTTGGCTTTCGCTCCTGCCTATAAACACTGTTAGGAAATAAGCAACAGTCTTAGCCACCAAGACAGGCGATATCTATTTTGTTCATTCCCACAGCCTGCGTAGATAGGTAACCATTGTCAGTCCGCACATTTCTCGTCCAGTGTCCAAACCTTAGGCCCCAGAGAAAGGTCCTTAATTATCTTTCGCTTTTCTGTGTCCATTTCAGTGTCCATCGTAGCTGGTCAAGCAAATAAACATTATACTCTCCTGTTCCACAATTAACCTGGAGTCAGTAGGGATCTGTGTTGTTCGTGTCAGAGGAGGGTTAAAAAAAAAAAAAGATATTAGATTCCGACGAAAAGAAATTTCTAATAAATATATAGAATTTGACTCGCAGAACGAAGAGGAAACACGGTAAGGGGGAGGAACACGTTGAGTGGGATGGAATACGTGTTGGCAAATGTGACAACAGATTCAACTCTCAACAACAGTTGTCACTTGTCCCAAAAAAATTCAGAAAAAAAAAAAAATTAAAAACTCGCAATGCTTCGTAAAAATAATAACCTTTCTTTTTTTTCTATTTTTTTTTCCTGACATTAAATCTTTTTCTTTTATGGTCCTATTCGTTAGAACTTTGGCGATCATGGCTCCCAACAAAATTTTCTCTTTTGTAGCTCTGAATAAATTTTATCTTTTTATTCTCTTTCGTAGTTACTGTTCTGCCAACCATTACACAAGCTCGTTAGATATGTCCACTACATTCCTCAGTTCATCTTGCCTTCAGTATGTTCAGTGAGTGTTGAATTCTCCAAGCCCTCTTTCCTCATTATGTGCTGTTATATACCGTGCCTATGAAAACTAATGCGTGTGTCCTAATCCTCATAAATACGTTGGGCACAATTGTAAGTTGTGGTAATATGCTGTCTAAGTAGTCCACCACTAGCAGTGGTTTACCTACTTCATGCTGCTTGCAAGTATTGTATTTTGTTGATGTTATAAAGATTACCATTTCATTTCCAAACCTCCGTTTAGGTTATTCCTCCTTCAGTAAACCTTTCTAAATTATATGTGCCTTAAAAATTTCAATTGTGTCTTTCTGATTCCAAATATAAGCCTCTTTTTTGTTTCTATTTTCTTTAAAAATTCGTCGTTTCTCATATGTTCAGTCTATAATATTCTCAGCGCCCTTCTGTAGAACCACATTTCAGTTGTCTCAAGTCACGTCTTCATCCATGATGAAATTGTCCAGTATTCACTGCTATATAGAAAGCCCGATATTACATAGAAATTCCGCATTCTTATTTTTTGGGGGTGTCTAACGAAATTTTCCTGTTTGTTAATACTTTGCTTAGCTTTTAAAATCATTTTTCGCTGTTCCAACACGATATACAAATTTTCTTCATTAATTTTCTACTTCTTGTATACAGCACAATCTTGAAAATGGAATTCGCCTATTGTCGTCAAATGTTGTTGATTACGCGCAAATAATTTCAGCTTTTAACTGCAATGACTCCATTACACAACTGGCTATGATGAAGCAATTTATGTCCGTTCTTCATTTTGCTTTTCTTCGGCGTCTCCATAAATGATTTGCGGGATCACTAGTTTTTTTTTTTTTTTTTTTTTTAGATATATTTTGTGGGATATGTGGATATTTCTGCGAGAGACGAGAAAGACAAGAATTAAATTGCAAACAATAATGTACATGCAACAATAACAACATTTTATTGTCTTACAGAATTAATAATAATGGTGTAAAAAAAGATAAATGAAAGCGTGTCTTTATTCTTACGTACGGAGTGTATAAAGCACTATTGAATATTTTGAGAGACTTACCATGTATGCTGTATTGTTTTCTTGCGACACGTGGTTCATTAGCGATTAAGAAGTCCCTTAGGAGGGAAACGAGACACGTCTTGTCCCTGCGACATATAATGAATAAAGAGAAACAAAAAGAAAGGCATGTTTCAAACCATATTCCGATTGGCCAATGCACACGTCCCACAAACCAATCAGAATAATGCTCAGTATCACCGCTGCTCTATATTTACAGTCTGTTGAATTTCACAAACTTCAACCCCTTATCGTGTTTTTACGAAGTTGGTGAAATATGGAAGGTTTCAGTTTTTACGAATTAGGTACGATAATCACATCCACCATCGTCCCGATCAGTCTTCGTGCGGACATTGTGGTGAATAGTTAAATTTAGTCATTACTGTTTTCAATTGCAATCAGTGTGAACTTAGGATAATCAGCGACCGCAAGTCCAACTTATAAAGTTGGAGTGTCTCCCTTTTGGAGACTGTATCCGGCGAACCGAGTATGAATTCCCGATTTGATTGATTTCACTGCTTACCACCGCTACGCGACAGACGGTCATGTAGACGACAGCCACAGGTCGAGGACGGCCTGCGCGCATGAGGACCGTCGAATTGCGCGCAGAAATCCATTTTTTCTTCATCCATCTACAGTTTAAATAGAATGGTAGCCTGATCTCTCTAGACTTGGATGATAATCAGTCTAATTGAAGAAAAACTTTGAAGTCCAAACAGTGCAGAAGATAAAGGAAAACTATTTCACAATCTTTCCCATGAAAGTATGGCTATTCAGTTTTTTTCACTTTAAGTAACACCTTGTATCTTAGTGGCTTTATCGCCCTTCTTGGGGGTGCTATAATTAAAAAGATTCCCCTCAGTATAATGACATTTTTTTACGGTTATTAAACTATCCGACAAAACGTTTATGAAAACTTGCACACTTATTCTATGAGTTGGAAAATTTTTACGTGATGAGTATTACAGACATTATTATCACTACGTCCTGGGTATGACGATAACTTCATCTGCGTCCTGGGTAAGACGATAAACTTACGTCCAACAGCAAGGTCTCTGATCAGGAGGTTTTGAGGAGCATGGAACCACCTCTTAATTGCTGGTGTTCCCAGGTCCACATCTGTTAGGGTCCCAGCTATGGGTAAATAGTTAACCCCCAAACTGGGGTTTAAACTCTATGAAAGTGTTAAAATAGGTTTTAATACCAGAAATAATTTGTAAAAAATTATTACCAGCAATGTATTTTTGGAATAAAATGATACTACCAGCAATACATTTCTGAAGAAAAAATATTACCAGAAATACATTTCTGAAAAAAAAAAAATTGCTAGGAATAAAAATTTTGTCGGCATTAAATAACCCATTGAGGTTGATATAAAACCAATCCAATCCAAACCAAACCAAACCAAACCAAACCAATCTAAACCAAACCAAACCAAACAGACAGCACTTCGACATGATACAAAATTGCATCTGGTGTATACGAAAGCAAAGAAGTGAGTGAAAACCTTTCTAGTATTGCTGGTACCGATTTCATGTCACCTGCGCATGATGTGTGTGGCTATACTTGATGAATCCAACCATCGCCGTGGAAAACATGGCAACTATCAAGTGGCTGTCAAATGGTTTTCCGTTTATGTGAACCGCCACGCTGACTCTATAAGTTGAAATATTCCTGCTGGAATGACTATTCCAGACAACAAATGTGTTTGACAAAAAAGGTTTGTGACAAAGTACCAATGAATAAATAAAAAATTAATAAATAAAAAAAAGATCTTGATGCGTCAACTAAGTTTTAAAAAAACAAAACACCATAAATCTTAGCCGTCTAAACAGAAATATTTCTTGACAGCAGCCGGCATGTCTGGTGTGAGTGCGAAAATTCTGTTACCAAGAAAAGCGATAGAGATTTGACTGCACCTGCCGAATAGATATAATTAGTTTTCTTTGGTTTTTACACTCCTCAAAGTTTCTGAGAATTCAAAAGCATCTTGTTTATCTGATATGTGAAAAGAACGTATGGTTGCCAGCAAAAGGAACTTGCAAATTACAAATTGGGGATAACAAAATAAAGCCGGTACAACAATCTAAATATCTGGTCAGTATTTTAACAGAAAACGGAAAGTGAAACACCGAAAC